TGGAACTAGGAATGGCCATCTCAAATCAATTAATTCCACCACATAATTTGAACTTCTTGAAGCACATGTTTTTTCAAGATACATAAGCATCACCCATCCCAGGAAGACATTATTCCGGGTGCTTGTCATGACGCCCCTATTTGGCCTTTTCCTTGGAAAGAAATGATGCTAGATCAATGAACTGTGAGGGGTGGTTACGCGCCCCAATTTGTTCCCAGATAAATTATAATAATATGTTCTTTGAGCCTTTTCGATACTGATAAATCAATGGCCATTAACTGCAGGCACCCCACTAATTGACGGGGCTGCACCTCTATTCTTCTTGAGGTATGCAACATATTCACCATAGTGCATGGTGTACAGGGTGCTCTGGTAGCGGGTGACTTTGATTTTCTTCCTCAAGGACTCAGTGATGGTACCTTGGTAACCTGCCTTCCTCATGAGTGAATCAATAGTTTCTGCATGTGTCCATCCTGCCAAAGATGAAGCCAAAGTTACAAATTATTCAATACAGATGTGGAATGTACTGATCAGTTGACTCTTTATTTTACCGTTATTGCTAATTATAATGTATTTGGTCCATGAGGACTTGAAAAATGATGAAAATACATACTTGCTTAACTGATTTCTACTTATTATCCCTTGTAAAATTCTAGAAACTAAAGAACTCTGTAAAAATGAAAAAGTGTGCATCATATAGATGAAAAAGAAAATGTTCACCTTCATCGCCCGCAACTTCAGGCAAATAGGTTGCACTGCGTCTTATGTTGTAGTCTGGATCTGTAAAGTCAATAATTAAACCATGCTTTCCAACCTGGTTCACAAGAAAGAAAGGCTTTGATGTAAAAACTGCTGAAACAATAAACATAACAGGTGAGTGAGAAGAGCATCTGAACATGTAGATTTAAAATGCGTGCAAGTATACCTCCCAATCAAGGTAGTCCTCTGCAATTTCATAATCAGTGAGTATAGATACTGTGCACTCCAAGGTTGGGAGTTCCTTTGATTGTATTGGGGGAAAGCGTCGGTCCCTCAGGGCACTGCAAGAGGATATCAAGCTTACCGTATATCTAAACATTATCCAATACGGAGTGCACAATTGCTTTTCTACTTATTACAGCACAAGTCCATCAATGTTTTGAGTACCGAGCGGAAATTTCAGCATTAAATCAGAGAATTTCAATACTGAAATAATAGTCACCTAGTTAGGGCGTAGTCCTTAAAGCCACTGACGATCTGACGGGGCTCCAGGGTTCCTATGCATCCCCGGAGGCGTGGTTCTGAACCATTGGCACCCTTCTTCCAGGTCACAAACAATGGGCTGAAGTTACAAAAAAATTGACCCAATGAGTTCAATCATGTATGCTAGAACAAGAATGCCTTATATAAGACAAAGATATTAAAAGCCATACAGCTTAATGTGCACTACATGGTTGCAAAGGAACTCAATTAACAATCTGAATCCTGGAGTACGAATAAGAAACATTAGTGCGTCATAGTCAGAACACGCAAACTCAGCGTGTTTAAGCTCCCAACTTCACAAGGAATAAGAATGCCTTGTGATTAAACTGAGTGTCCTACTTAAATTATAATCTCAGCTGTGCAGCAGTGAGATTCCTTGTCCTCTCCCCTACTCTCCGTCAGACAATCGCAAGAGGCAGGAAGCTTGCACCCTACTGAAAGGCGAGGCACGTAGCCATAAGTGTGGCTACTTCGCTTCTCCTCTACCTTGCAACGGAAACTAAGGGCATGCGATATGATCAGATACCGCAATCGCCAGGACCAACAAGCAGTCAATCAAATCGGATAGCGAATCAGTTGCAACAGGAGCCGAACCGAAACCAAATCTACCAAGGCGCGCCGCCTTTTGCCCAAACCTAACACGAATTGGCCGAACCCCATATCGAAATCGCTGCAAAACCACCTCCTCGGGATGGGGGCAACGCGGCCCGGGTTCGATCGCTGCGGGGGGAGGCTTACTGGTTTCCATCCTCGAAGGCGGGAGGCGGCGGCTGCTCGCCGGTGTAGTGGGCGACGAGGGTGTCAAAGCAGTAGACCGCCATTTCCTCCGTGGCCACCACCATCCTGCCGATCGCCGGGGGATCCTACGCGGGGTTGCTGCGTCGTCTCCCGCGCGGGCGAGGGCACGGCGAGGGCGGCGACCGCCTCGGGAGTCGGGCGATGGGGGGGGGGAGGAGGTTGGAGGGACAAGGAAGCGAGCGATGCGTCGTCTGTTTCTTCTCCCAAAAAATGGACGGAGTTGTCCTTTTCAATGGACGGAGTTGTCCTTTTCAATGGACGGTTTTGCCCTCTGCAGGGTTCGTCTCCAACTCGGCAACTCGTCTTCAAAAGCTTTTGCACCGTATCAGCTTCATCGTCAGGATAAATTCATCGTAGCTGCTTTTACTGAAACTTTGGAGTTATAAACTTTCAATTGCAGGATAGCACAATCCCCTCATTGTTTTTACATTTGAAATAAATCATTGTTTTTACATTTGAAATAAATCAGTACTCTAATAATCTTGGTTCACATGGTAAACAAAAAGGCTGGCATGGTTTCTTTCGTGGAAAAAAATGAGTTCTTTTTTGAGATAGTAGACAACAGCATCTGATCTGATTTCGATTCATCGCCAAAGGTACATGACCCCGACACGTCAACGATTCTGGCAGTACGTCTAACTTTTCGTTTTTCCTCTAGGATAATTGTTGATCGTAGCATGTTGCGTAGCCTGCTAGCTCTCTTGATTCTTTACTCTCCACCCTGACTCTTCAGTGTCAAAGAGTGCGTATGTTGCAAGCAGCATCTCAATTTTTTTAGTATATAGTACTCAGTATATTATGAATGAAAGGCTTGATAGGAATAGGAACAAAGTTCATCAACTAAAGACAGCCACGGAATCTTTCTATATGAAACCTGCGCCCAAACCGCGGCCAGACAGCGTGCCACGTCACCGGCTTTTCGCGGCCGTTCGATCGGGCGCGCGGACGGCCCAGATCGGGCGAGCGGCGGTCATTTTTCGAAAAACCCCTTATATGTTTTGGAAATCAACCTGCGCTCCAGAGGCCCTCTCAGTATATTTTGTAAAAAACACCTCATATTATTTCGAAATCAACCCGCAGTCCCACAGGCGAGCGCGGGCCGTGGGGCAGACCCGCCGCCCTCCGCTTCTCCCTTCCTTTCTCCCTCGCGCCTCCCCCTGCCTCCAGCGTCTGCTCCGCCCTTCCCTCGCGCCGCACTTTTCTCCGCTCGGCGTCGTGAGCCGCCCCTGCCCGACAGCCCCTGCCGCGCCTAGCCGCCGCGGCCGTCCGCTGCAGCAGACCACGCAGGCTCTGCGCCTCACGGCCTTGCCCCGCTCCAGACTGGCGGCCCCTGCGACCCTGCCCAACGGCGCCGTTCCTCCAGGGCAACCCCTGCGGCAGCGGCAGTAGGTGCAGCAAGCAGCTACACGGCCGGCCGCTTGCTTGTGCAAAAGGTGAGGCGGTCTCTGCTCTACTCTCTCTCTCTCCTGTTTCCCCTTTCGTCCATGTCGTAGATGCCATGCCCGTAGATTTGTGGATTACGGATTTCCATCAAATCTCATGTCGTGTGCGATCAACTCATGGATTTGCCAGGTCCCAGATGGAAGAAGGGCAAGGACGGCAAGGACTTTGCAGCACTCACAGCAGCCAATCCCATGTCGACCATAATCGCCCAGCTCCAGGCTAAACTGAGGGACCCAGAAGTCGTGGCGACTCTAGCCGCGCGCACCAGGGACGCGATTCTCGAGGTCGGCAAAGACCCGCACCGGCCGGCCCCGACCGCGGCGGCCTCCTCACGCTGTGAGGAGCCTCCCCAGCCACTGAGATGAGCCCGCGGCAAGACGCCGCCGCCACCGTGGGGATGCTCACCTGCTGCTACCGAGTACCGTCAATCAACCGCAGTGATATCAAATAACACAGATCCCAGTCGTTGCCTGCAACAACTTCGTTCTCCTCAAGGTTGTTCAAAACCAATGTTGACGATCCTTACTGGCTCCGTATTCTTTCTCCTCTTTTCTAATTGCCACACTGCAGCCATGGTGTTTGATGAAATGTGCATGTCCGCAGCTTTGATGATTAGGAGCACCATGATTAGATTTTTTTTAATTTGCTATCACTGTGATGCAATGTTCTATTTAGTTCACTCATCACCAGAAATATGTGACAAGTAACTATGTAATGATGATTTACTTAAACCTCAGGCAAACCAAGTAATTACGAAATTACCAATGGTGATTTACTTAATCTTGAACACAAATCTCTGATGGCAAAAGTAATATTCAGTGTTACTGATCAATGTAGTATTTGCACTTGTCTAAAGTAGCTTATTGTACATGAACGATGGCTAAAGCAAATTCAGAACTTGGGCTACAAGCATTTTAGTTTCTTTGATATAATCACATCCCCTAAAGTGCTACAAAGATAACCTAATGAAACTCAAGCAAAACTACAACAGCTCAGCTCAAAGTTAGCGCGGCAACGCCGTGCCCTAGCTTTCTAGTGTCAACAGGATTTGCTGCTTTAGGTGAACCAATCAGTGCCAAAGATATTTTATATAGCAACCTTTCCCGTGTGATAGTGATGTTTGACCCAACCAGATCGAATACAATCTAACAAAGCCGGATTGCATTACAGCAAATTTCAGTCTCACTGCGGTTTCAGTGGGCCGCAAAGTTGCTTTTGCTTCCTTCACATAAAGGCCAACATGGCATCATTCATCCATTCCCAATGAGAACAGGAAACAAGAGCTATACCATTGTATTTTCCATGCCCAATGAAATATATGTACTTCCAATTATGGCAATAATTAAGGATGGAAAGGGACATCAAATGGGCGAACAAGCTTTATCCAGCTCGGCTGAATGCCCTGAACAAATGTACTAGACCTACTAAGAAGGTAAGAGATGTATGTACATATTATATAGATTTCTAGGGCTTGGATTAAACCAGATACAATCAGACGTGTTTGCAAAGTGATCTATTCAAACATCTGAGCAGAACTCCAGGCTATCCAGGTGATGCGCAAACGATTCAGCCAGTCCGTTGGCGTCCTGAACCCGCAGGCGTGTGCCTTGCTGCCCGACGACGACAGCAGCTACCCGCGAGGCCAGTAGTCCTATGCCTTTCAGGTCGGAAGCACCCCGGAGGATGCCATACAGAATCCCAGAAGCGTATGCGTCGCCAGCGCCACAAGTGTCCACTGGTATGCAGGATGGTGGAGGGATGTATATTGCTTCACCTTTCACCCCAATGTAGGAGCCATGCATGCCGTCAGTCACAGATACTAGGGGAACCGAGTGGCTTAAGTATCTTGTGGCTGACATGGGGCTGTCTGTTGAGGGTAGCTCGCAGATGGCCCTTGCTTCATTGGCGTTGGCAAACAGTATATCTGCATAGTTTCCTACAATATCCCTGAAAATGTTTGGTCCGTGGTCGTTAGTGTCATAAGATGAGGCACAATACAGCTGCGTTAACTAAAAAATGATGGGTTCTGGAAACATAAAAAACACTTTAATGGTACTAATTGATGAACAATTATGCCCTAAGATTCTTTTGCTAGTTTCAGTGATAAAACCAGATATAGAATAAGGTAGCCTTTGTGTAGCACACAAAAGAGACTTTAGATGCTTAGCCCTCCTCTTTTTAGAGTCAATATGCACTATCAATGGAAGCAAATAAAAGATTGGTCATTTAGGTCTGGGAATGTGTGTAGCTGGGCCCAGATGGTCCCAAGCTGTGAATCTGACAGGAAATCCTTTGAAAGAAGGCTAGCCTCACCGAAAGTCATTGTAGCAACGCTTGATGCAAGATACATCTGATGCAGTAACAGCAATGAGTGCACCATTCTTGTGAGCATCTTCACACGCTTGCTTGATAGCTTCAATTGTGTGAGGCAGCTCAAATAGATAACCTTCTACAATTAGTACATTTGATTTAGACACTAAACTGGCCAAGTCTGAATCGTAACTCAGAGTTGACGAAGTACCCTGCAAAGACAGAAATTGCATACCACCATTAGAGCATATATTGGTTGCAGGTGCATCACAATTCTAGATGATTGGCCAATGAATTATACTTGTTCAAAATACAGGGTCATGAATCAAGGATGTATCATTAAGGGCAGTCCCAATGCTACCTATTAATTTTTATAGACACTGCATATAGAAACCATGGTCCCAATGAATAGTTTCTATACAATAATTTTTTATCCAATCACATACATTCTCTCTCCATTCTCTACCAATCACATCTCTTCATGTCTTGGTTTTCGTGTAGACATGATTTCTAACTTAGACCCGGTTTCTATGATTTTTTCTCTCTCTCTTCAATAACTACCTTGCCACATCAGCAAAACGCTTAGGTGGCAGTACAATTAATGTCTATAGAAACTATGGTGGTTTCTGCATTGGGAGTGCTCTAAGATCTCATGATAGTTCTTGCTTCCATATTCATACACTACTACAAACAATACCATGACCAAAAAAACCTGGAAATTTCACTTCATCCTTTGCACATTGATATTCATATGGTTTAGATATGATATAGACCCTTAAGAGGCCAGATAGTGAACTGCTTAATGTCCAGACACAGGTTGGTATCCTGAGGTGTCTAAAGAGTGTAAAGAGGGCTGAGAAGGCATAGCAAGCAAATGTAACTGGAATAATATCTAACAAGTTCAGATATAGAAGAGTTGTCAGCAAAGGAAGTAAAGGAACTGACCTGATACGCAAGCATAGTTCGCTGTGCGTCCTGCGTTGTCAGAACAATAACGGTTCCAGTTGTTCCATCTTTGACCGGCTTAGACAAGAAGTGCACATTAGCACGGTGCAACTTTGCCCTAAAAGCGTGATTGAACAAAATGCATGATATCAGCCAATACTTAAAGGCTTTGTGCAGAAATGGGATATCAGGATCAGCTGCAAACCTGCAACAGAAATAGTGACAAATTAGTGAATTACCTGTAGAAACTACCTAGTGGGTCACTGCCCACACTGCCGGCCATCGCAATTTTAAGCTCAGGGTAGCCAGCAGACTGGCTACTACCAAGCCTTGCCAGCGCCACAAGCGAGTTGGACAGGGAGCCTCCAGCTGCAGCCTTGTAGCTGCACCCATCCATGGCACGCAAGACCCGTCCCCTCTCCTCATGGTTTATGACCTTTCTCGTGCCCTTCTCTATGCTCAATCTCTCAAGGAACTCGTCATCCACCATCCCTGAGAAGTCAACCTATTTGCCCCACAAAACAGTCACAAGTCAGCATTGATCTCAACAACACATCCATACAGGCACAAGTTTGAACTACAGTTCACAAGTTGTATCTTAGATATTTGGCAGATAAAGCACAGATCAAGAACCACTATCATTAGTCATGTTATAATGTTGCACAAGTCCCTACTGTCATCAAGCATGTTCCTGTTATATAATTGAGAGGCAAGTACAGTAATAAACTCAACAGTTTATTTAGGGCATCTAATTATAATTCTAGCCCAATATGGAGTCAAAGCATCTCGAGTTTGTTCAAGTTTTATATAAAAAAATATCAATACTTATGATACCAATAAGTACCATTAGATTCTCCATTCTTCATTGAAAATATTTCCGTATTATATCTATTTGATGTCATAAATAATTTTTTTCTATAAATTTGGTCAAACATTAGATAGTTAACTAAGGACAGAATTGTAATTGCATTCTTTCCGGGACTAGAAGGTAGTACTGCATTCAGTTTCTTTGGGTGCGGGCGTGCAGCCAGCTGCGTCTTGCAACTGGAGAGCAACATCGCAAGGAATCGACTCTGGCTATCGCTTATTCCGCAATCGATCCAATAACTGAACAATTTTACAGGACTCGCGGAGGGGGAAAGGGGGAGAAGACAAGGGTTGCACGCACCATCGCCTGGCCGAGGCCCAGCACGTCCCATCTCTCTGGCCCGACGGCCGCCGCGGAGAGCTCCACGGCGTCGTCCACCTCGCCCTCCCGCTGCCCCCCTCGCAGGGCGTGCTCCTCCTCGTCGTCGTCGCTCTCACTGGCGCCGGCGTCCGAGAATCCGCCGAGGAGCGCTCGCGCCCTGCCCATCCGGCGCACCGCGAGCCGGTGCCAGCTACAGGCGAGCGGGGAATTCCCGCCGGCTCCTCGGCGCGGGGCGAGATGGAGGAGCGAGGAAGGGGGGCGAGAGTCTGGAGAAGAAGAGAAGCGGCGGATGATTCGGGAGGGAGAGGAGACCGTGGCGGCGGTGGTGGCGGAGGTGAGCGCCATTGTGGGTAGCGCGCCGCGCCGCGCCCGTGGCGTGGCGTGGGCGTGGTGTATTTGATGAGGAAACGGATTGGGGTAGTCAGGCCCCGGACTCCCGAAATGAGATGGCGGCGCGCGGCCGGCTGCCGCGCTGCCTCGCTCCCTGTCACGAAAAAAGAGTGGGCAAACCTTTATAACTGAAAATAAATAAACAGAAAGAGAGGCGCTACAGAAGGCTCTTCTAAAAGAAAAAAATGTGGGGCTCACCCTACAGTGTCTGCATTCTGCAACGGGTGGTTAGCAGGGAACGGGTGATTCCGTCTCTGGACTTCATCGGCTATGGGCCAGAACTTGTATCCTTTCGTTGGGCCAACCTCATCTCTAACGACGGGCCATCACGTGCTATCCTCTAAAACTTCCTTCTTTCTTTTTTTCCGAAACACAAACGTACATCACATCGCGCGTATACACTCATCTATGATCTATGTTTTCCTAAAAAAATCTATATGATCTATGTAAACACACATCCTATCTATATTAGCTGCAAAGCCGGTGGATCTTGAAAACCGAATAGACAATAACACTTTTTTCTATAGAAAAATACGAACACCAATAGCAAATCTATAGGACTTGACTTCAAATACAAGAAAGCTAACAAAACTGAGCCATTCATAGCTTGGTTCTCAATCCTCTCTCCACTCTCAACTATAGAGTAAGAGAACTAAGCATAGCTTGGTCAATTGGTTTCTTTGTGGTGGAATCTATATACCTGGGTTTAAGTAATTGAATTGACGTTGTTAGGTTTAAGTTCTCGACTTTTATGTGGGCGCTCGTATTTTTCTAAATTTATTATTATATGGTTTAATAACATTGTTCTTTCAGTGGTAGGCCATATGTCCGGTCGATAGTTAAGTGGTGTTGTTCTTTTCGGTGGTAGACGACTTGCTTGTTGATAGCAAGGTGTCTATACTGATTTCTTCAATCTCAGAGATGCTCATAAGAGTATGTAATATGGTTCAAAAAATTATTCAAAAAACTATAGAGCACATGCACACAAAAAAGAGATTTTAGGTGCTTTGTCTGCCTCTACCTTCTCCTTCATGATATTTCTAATGCAAGAAGAAGATTGCACATGATTTTTCTTTCAACATGGACTCGATCCCAACCTTTAGTTTCCCATCAAAATTATTGAGAGTGATAACTACACAATCATTGAAAAAATATATCCAGATTTTTTTTATCATAAGACCTTTTTTCAGTTTTAATATATGGTATCTTGGACCATGTTATTTGTTTAAAAACAAATTACCTTTGCCCTAACCGTCATGCAATTAAAAATAGAGGAGTACTAATGTGTAACACCCTCGGTGTTACATCCAAAATCATTTGCTAAAATATGTCATGAGCATCATGTTTATGTGTTAATGCATGTGATAGAATATGTAGATAAATTTCTTGTAACTTACAATGATCAATAAAACTGCTAAATGAAAGTTGATTCAATAGCTCAAGTAGGGTTGAAAATCAATTTTTATTAAGCAAAAATATTATAGAATATGTGTGTGGTATTTAAATAAAGTTTGAAGTATAAACTTTGTGGATGACAGTGAAATACTTGCTGTTGAAAATTATATTAATAGCTAATATTTCTACTAGCCTAGAAATTACAAATTAAAATCAAGTTCAGCTCAAAACTTAGAAATTTTTCAAGTTGTCAACAGCTAGACATTGCTATGTTTAGTAAATTATTTTGAGAGATTGGGTTAAGAGGTGGTGTAGTGTTATAACTCGATTTGGTAGTCTCATATGCACTCTTAAGTATGGTGAAGATGGTTTGGCTCCTGAAGCAATCGTTTAGTTTTAATAGGCACTTTAAAATTCGTGCACGACTCGGTCTCGGCCTGGTTGGCCGTGTGGGCGCGGTCACCACGCTCGGGCGCTCGGCGTCGTCGCGTTGGTGGCGCGTGCGCGTGGCCGACTGTGGCTACCTGTGGCCCAGCTGCCGCTGGCCTGGCCGCGCAGAGCTGCTGTCGCCCGCCTCGCGCCGCGACGCTGCCGCTGCCGTCGCATCGTCGTTGCGTCTGCGCCTATCCGCTATACCCTCTACGTTGCTGCCGGCCTAGTTCAAGGCCACCATTGCCACACGCACATGGCCGAGCTCGCCGTCGCCTTGTCATTTAAGACGCCGTGGCCGCACGGGCCACGCAGGTCGGAAGCGCGCACGCCTGTCTGCTAGCGCCTGCTTGTGGGCCTCCACGATCTCGCCAACCGCATCCCGCCAAGGCGAGGATGAGCCAAGCCACTTGCCACGCCCCGTCTCTCTCTTTCTCTCTTTCTCCCTCTGCTGTCGCCATGAGCCGCGTCATTCAATTTACCCAGCAAACGATCACCTCCATTTAATTCAGCGTATCCATGGCTTCACCATCATGTCCTCTCACTACCCAACCCCACCCAGCTTTGAAACGAGCACGGCCAAGCTCCAATTTTGGAGTTTCTCTCGCCGCCGTGCCGATAAGACCGCGTCCGGCCGTGGATGTGGGCAGCCCTCCCACCGTTCCTTTTGAGCCAATTCACCTGCACCACTAGCATCGCCTTAACTCCCTCTTCACCCTACGCGCCATAGCCAAACCGCTATCGCCTCCCCTTCATCGCTAACGCTACTGTGCCACCGCGGTGCTTCGCCACACGGCTCGGCCGCACGTGGCCAGCCTTCCTCCGCCATCCTCCGCCCCAACCGTCACCTCGTCCTAGTCTAGGTTAGCCTCTTGATGCTCACGCGCTAACCAATTAGGCCTGTAGCTACCCCAGCTCAACGAAATAGTGGCGCCGCCGTCGCGGATGGCCACGTGCTGTTGTAGCCTTCCCCAGGCGGTCGTGTCACCCTGCACCACCGCTTAGCTTAGCCGCTTGGGTCAGAGATGGTGATCGACCCGTTAGGTGGGCCTGCGTAAGCGCCTAGTGCCGCCGCTTGCCGTGTCGCCGTGCACTGAGTTACCGGGGGTGCGCGTGGGTGAATTAGGGAAAGGCCAAGGGGTCAAGTGAGAAGTTCTGAGGGTAGGGAAATAGTGTTAGTACTTAGTTGTAATTCGAGAGAAGTGTGAGGTCTATTTTGCAAAAATGTCAGCGCGCGCGGGATTTTCCCGCCGCGGGCTGTCTCTGCGTGGGACAGCGTCGCGCTCGCGCGCGCTACGTCATGTGGGTCGCGCGGGAGAATTCATTTTTCTTTTTCATAAGGAATTAGAAATAGTTTTCTAATTTAATTTTTGAGTTTATCTTTGGTAAATCATATAAAATCATGTAGATGTCCAAAAATTATGAAACAAATTTTGTTAGGTTCCTAAAATTGTGCTCTATCTGTTATTGTATGTAGTTCATATATGTACATGTTGATACTAGGAGCTATTAAATCATTTGAGTGTGCTCAATATTTTTAAGTTAATTATTGTAGGAATTTTTGTGGTAAATTGGTGATAGCTTTAGTCCTGAGAATTTTATAGTAGCTTCATGGTATTATTATGTGCTCACTATAATTTTTGTAGCTTTAGAATCGACTCAGAATTAGGATAGTTAAATGCTCTTTGTTTCAATATACATTAAATCATTAGTAGCAATAAAGATATATCCTTCATTTGTAAAGCTAGGTATTTGTTAGTTGAACTCAACACTTTGCTCGGTAAAGATGATAGTTAGCTTAGTACCTTAGTCATTAGAGCTAGCTTAGTAGCTTAGTATGCGTATTCTTATTTTAAGAGTTGCTGTTGCATAAATGCTAAGTGTTGCACCATCATTGCATGCATGTAGAGAACGAGTTAGCGGAGATCGTGACCATCGGCGATCGCGAGTTCGAGGAGATCGTCGAGGAGTACGAGGAGGAGGTTCTCATGTAGGAGGAGGTCCCGGAGCCACCACTAACTGACTAACTGACACCGCGCCTGCCCAAGGTAAGCCCCGGTGCATAACCCCTTATTTTTGGATAATCACTGTTTATATATGTCATGTGCATTTATGTTACAGGAATTTTATGGAAACCACCTGCATAAATATACTTGTCCTATGAGTCCTACTAGTACATGTTCGAGTAGCTGCTATGCTTAGGTTTTTGGTAGCGTGAGTAACCTGCCGTTACTCACAATAGGTGATTATTATTACTACTCTCATAATAAAATGATGAAAGGAAAAATGGAGACAGGGTAGGGATATGGTATGGGTATTGGTGGGTGTAACAGATTGTGTCCCATAGCTAATGGGGCTTAGCTTGCTTACACTATTTTCCCTGCTCGTGTCGATTAAGGATCGTCCGTTGCTGTGGATGGTAGTCAGGTCATAGACTTATTATCCTGAGCACATACTTGCTTATGGGAGTGGGAAGGCTCGTTACGCTCTTATCATGGGTTCTGGCTCTTTTCAGGCCGACTAATTGGAGGCGAGGAAAGGTGGAGGTCTAAGCACCATACTGAGACCGGGTCTCAAGTGTGGGGGCTTGGAGTCCATGTTTGGATGGGGACCTAGACCCCGTGACAGGAGTGGAATGAGTTGGTCTTGTTTGTGCCTGGGGTACAAACAGGGCATGTGTTTCGAGGTACCCAGCTGTGATACATTGGTTCGTGAATCACCGTTTCTGTGAGATGGTACGACTTGGCTATGGTCTAGCACCGTAGTAAGAACTAGAAGATGAAAGATGGTGAAATGGTTCTGATTGCTCAACCCTTGCTTAAAAGTAGAACAAGTGTTTACTTAGAATGGTTAGTTAATGATTTAATCATGACTGCTAATAAAACTTGATATAAGGACGTACTTCTAGTAATGCTTTTCACAAACAAAAAGAAAATAGCAAACCCATATTGCCTATCATATCCTTAGAGTTGAGAAACTATTCCCACTAGTCGGGTAAGTCTTGCGAGTATATTGTGTACTTAGGGTTTATTTTACCCTTGTTGCAGGTGCAGCTTGAGGAGTAGTTCTTGTATGGAGAATTCTTCTGGTGGGCACAGACGGATCCTTATACCATTTCTGCTAGATGTTTA